CCTTATGATCTTCTGACCATGATCATCCCAGAAACAATATACAAATGTCTCATCTCCATAGCCAATGAAATAACACTTCTTTGACTTTGCCTCAAGCTTACTTTGAGCATCAAGATTAATGAGAATATAAGAAAGACAATCAAAAGTCTTAAGGTAGAAAATTTTACCTATTCCTCACTCCAGGCTTCTTCAGGTAATTCACAGTTTAATGGAACAGATGGCCACATATTGATCAAATAAATTACAGTGCTGACCGCTTCTGCTCAGAAAGTAGGTGGTAGTCCAGCGTGCAATCTCATGTTTCTAGCCCGCTCATTGGTGGTTCTGTTCATGCGCTCTGCAATACCATTTTGTTGTGGTGTCCCCGGAGTAGTCTTCTCCATTCTGATTCCTCATTCTGATTCCCTAAGCTGCACATTACTCCTTGAACCCACAATCAATGTACTCACCACCATTATCAGACCTCAGACATTTCAGCTTTAAGTCTGTATCTTTTTCAATCATGGCCTTCCAAGTTTTGAATACACTGAATACATCAGATTTATACTTCAAGAAATAAACCCATACCTTTTTGCTATGATCATTAATGAATGTAATGTAGTAACGAGAGCCTCCAAGAGATGTCACTGGAAAAGGTCCCCACACATCTGTGTGTACAAGATTCAGTTTTTCTACCTTTGGTGTCCTGCCACCTTTCAAGAAACAAACATTCCTCTGCTTCCCCATAATGCAACTCTCACAGATGCCGAGATTTACTAACTTTAGTTTTGGTTGCTTACCTCTAGACTAAAGTTCCTTCATACCTCTATGACTCATGTGTTCAAGTCTACAATGTCATAACTCAGTTGTGCTCTCTGTAATAGTGATATCAACACTGTTAATTAAACCAGTAGTCATATATAGCGTATTTGTTTTCTTATCTTGAACCAGTACCAGTGCTCCTATAGTAACCTTTCAGGTGTTATTTGAGAACACTATTGAATGTCCACACTCATCAAGCTGCCTAACAGAAATGAGGTTCTTCTTCAGTTTTGGAATGTGTCTAGTCTTTTGTAGAGTCTACTTGTTCTTGTTTGGAAGTGCAATGTCAATATCTCTCATTCCTACCACGTTCAGAGCTTCTCTATCCGTCAGATATACTTTCCCAAAGTCACCTGTAAAATAATTTTGCATCAATTCCCGATGGAAAGTTGTATGGAAAGAAACCCTTGAATTAAATATCCAGTCATCAACAGAACTATGAACAGTCAGCAGTAATGCATCATGTGATTCTTCAGTTACCGCATTTGCACTGTCATTTTCCTTCTTCATAGGATTCTTGCAGTTTCTCTTTATGTGCCCAGTTTTGCCACAATTTCAGCAATTTACTTGTTTATCAGGCCTTGACTATCTCCTGCTTCCTGCAGTTTCTCATAGGATTCCTGCAGTTTCTCTTTATGTGCCCAGTTTTGCAACAATTTCAGCAATTTACTTGTTTATCAGGCCTTGACTATCTCCTGCTTCTGTTCTTTGATTTTGATCTTCCCATGTTTGAGTTCTTGTCATGTGATCTCCCACTGGAATCAAAATTTAATGTTGAACTCGAACCTGAGATCTCACCAGAATCTTTCTTGTGCATCTCCTCAGCCAAAATCAAATCACGAATATCTTTATATTTCAATTTTCATTTACCTGCAGAATTAATGACAGTCATTCTCATAGCTTCCCAGCTATTTGACAATGAAGCTAATAAGATCAGTGCACGTATCTCATCATCAAATTCAAATTTCACAAACAATAATTGATTTGTGATAGTATTGAAATCATTCAGGTGCTGTACAACAGACGTATTTTCCGCCATCTTTCCGCCATCTTCAAATTCTTCAAATTGAATAATTTCTTCATCAGATATACCTTGTTATTCGCCGATGGATTTTCATACAAACCTGACAGGGCTGCCGTAAGATCTGCAGTCATCCTCTCCTTGACGACGTTATGTGCAACGGACCTCTATAAGGTCAATTGAATAACCCCCAGAATATGTTGATCCAACTGATTCCATTCAGCTTCATCCATTCTTTCAGGTATTTTTCCCAATTACGGAAGATAGAGTTTCTTCCCATTAAGATAATCCTCTATTCGCATCCTCCAGTAACCAAAATCTGTGTCATCGAACTTCTCGATCCCTGAAAATTTCACTTCATCTGCAGTCATTAGCTCTGATACCAGTTGTTGTGGTATATATGAAATTTAAAACAACAAAAATAAAAAAATAACGAAGCGAAAAATAGAACGAGAAAAAAGATACATGTGGCATCTGTACAAGTTAACTCTTCACAAGTAACGAATATGCAAATTGCCTACAAATTGCCTACATCCATGGAGTTGCAGAGGATTTTACTAATCGAGGAATTTACACCAGTTTGATCTCTTCGACAATTACAAGAGAAACTTCTCTCTCGCTCTCTCTTCTTCACTCTTCTCACTCTACACCGAGATACACCGAAGATGAAGAAGAAATGTGTACAAGAGAAAAAACTTTTTTCTCTTCTGCCAAAAGCCACCAAGAAGAAATCAAGAAAAACAACCTTCTTCTTTCACTATCTTCTTATTCCTTCTATCAAGCACGCAAAAGCAACTAAAAAAGAGTATCCTGCAAAACACCTGCCTTCTTCTTCCTGTAAACCTCAAGAAGAATCCAAGCAGGGAATCTCCTTTCCTGTTTCGCGAACTAAAGGAGGCACTGGTTGTTTCGCAAACTGAAGCAACGTAAGCAGGCTTTTCTGTTTTGCGAGAAAGAGACGGGAGATGGGGAGCTTTATGTTTCGCACACAAGAGACAAATATGGGAGTTACTATTTCGCGAGAGACGGAGACGGGGGGAAAGTAGGCGGGAGCAGTTGAAGGTAATTTCCTTTTTTTTTATTGGCCAGGCTCCATCATAACAATTCTCAACTACTTTTTAATGTTACATCCTATTATATATGAATATTATTACATCATCAAAACTCTCCTATAACAAATTTATATTTACAGTCTATATTTTATTTAGAGAAAAATTTTATTAGAACCAATAATAAGTATGAAATATTAATTTTAAAACAAGTCAAAATAGAAATAAAATAAAATGAAATTTTAGTTCTAGTTATTGGAATATAATTTTTAAGATAAAATCCCCAAAATGAGAGAATTGACGAGGATGTTCCCATTTTTCTTTGGCATAGTTTTTACATCAATGAGGGGATGGAAACCTCGCATTATTTTCATGGAAATGGATCGATTGTTGGCCCAAATCCAAAGGCCGAAGATCCCATCTCTCATTAGCCTGCATAGCCCAAATACAACTAGCAAACATCCCATGCGCCACCAGCCTCTCAACCATGTCATCACCACCACCACTATAACATCACTGCACCATCCTCCTCCACCCTCAAACCCCACTTCACCAGTGCCAACATGCAAGGACTACTTCCGTGGATTCATGCGGACCTTCGACCGTGGGCCACAACAGGCATCACCAAAGAAACCCTTGAAAGCTCAAAATTCCATGTCTTCTTTTGTTTGATCATCATCGACAGCCGCACCACAATGTGTTTCAGAGCCGCGATACTTTTACCCTACGGGGTATTGTCCAGCTGCTGCGTCGCTACCCGGGCAGAATCCCAGAGCTTGACCTATTGTTCAACTGTGAAGATATTTACATCATCCTTGCCACCGTCTCGTTGGACTCTCCTCCTCCTCCGGGAAAATATTTGCTTACATAAGATGTACGTAGCTCTGCGTACATCAGGGGTTATTCAGGGGGTACAATGGGGTTATATCTGGGTTATACCCCCTTGTAACCTCCGGTATAACCCGGATATAACTCCCCTGTGCCCCCAGAATAACCTCTGATGTACGCAGCGTTGCGTACATCTTATGTACGCAAATATTTCTCCCTCCCTCCGCCGCTCTTCTGATATTACAAGGACGAATCAACGGTCGATATCGTATTTTGGGGATGGTATGTCTTGCTTCTAAATAAATCTTATAAAGATTAGTTTTACATGATAATGATCCAAAATATTTACTATAATATTTTAATCATTTAAACATTAAATATAAAATTTTAATTGCTTTTTCATTTAAATTTAGTATTTTATTACTGAATCATTAATTTTCTTATTATTACAAGTGTCAAAAAAGCTTGTCATTTGTGAACAGTTCGTGTTCAACTTGTTAAGTAGCTGGTGTTTTATTTGTTCAATAAACAAACGAGTCAAACATGAATAAATTTTTTGAGCTCAATTTATAAATGAGCCAAAGACAACAAACTTTAATTCAATTATATTCGACTCATATTGGCTCAAATTAATTAAATAATAAATAAATAATATATAGAAGTAAATCAAATCATGTAAAAAATTTTGTTTATTAAACTGTAAAAAAGAAAAATTAGATGTGAGATATGTAAATACATGAGAATTGGGTGGCATGGGTTAAAATACACATCAGATTTTAAAATAATAAAATTTTGGTGCTACATATGTAAATGCAAAAGAATTTGGTGGCATTTATGTAATTGCCCTAAATTTGTATGGCCCGGCCCAACTTCTATCCATTGGGCTTTGAAACATTTATCCCACATCACCCAATTGAGGAAAGCTCCATCATTAAACCTTTGTAAAAGAAAGAAAATGAGAACAACATAAGCTTTTAGCTTCCCTCAATTATTCTATTGTGAATTTTTGTGAAGCCAAATTTATTTTATTTTTAATTTAATCTAAAATTTTAAAATTAAAAAAATTATTTTTTTTAATATTATGTTTAGAGTTGACGTTTAAATGTTATTTCATTTAGAGAAGAACAAAGCATTAAGTTTCTATTAGTTTTTTTATTTCATTCTTTGCCAAAGCAGTAAAAATAATCCCAAATGAGTAATGAGCAGAGCAAAATCATTAAAATTACAACTAGTCCCCAAACGTTTATAGTCATCTCACGCAAAAGCATACATAACATGCACATAACTAATACCAAACTTAGTTAAAATCCCTCTCTTGCATCATTATCTTCAAAATCATTGCAGGGAGGTGGGAGATTAAGATCGAGATAAAATCTCTTCGAATTATCCTCCTTCTGCGATGGTTCTGGCGTAGTCGGTGCGCTGTGCTTCCGCATATGCCCACCGAGAGCCTGGTCGGAATTGAACTCATTGCCGCAGGTTAGACATTGGTGGATTTTTACCTTGTTCGTGGCTGGCGAAGACAACAACTTAATAGTGAATTGAGTTGAATTCAAATTCATCACCTTCGACAGTCGGGGAATTGAAAGCTTCCGGGTTTTATTATGACTGGCATGATGCCAGCCAAGTGTCTGGCGTGAGGAAAAACACCTATTGCAATCCCGATATTGGTGGGCATTATTTCCAGACTTGTCGTTGGTGGTGGTGGTTGCCGGCTCTACGAATCGCCAACTCGTAATGTTCATGGCAGTGGTTGCTTCATCCATTTTATTGGGCTCTGGATTGTAGCCACCTCTAGTAAGGAGTATTAGGCAATCAGCAATGTCTTCTTCTTCCTTAGTTGGCCTCTCAGAGATCTCCGCGGAGGTTGTTGGAGACAATACAGACGAAACTACAGGGGGCAAAAGGTGATGCCTTTGCCGCTTGGTTATCTTCCCTTTCGCTATGGTGGATTTTTTCATTGATGGGTAAGAATGAGTTCAGGGAAGTGAAGGGCGAGGAAGGTGAAGGATGGTTATATGCAAGTAATCAGAAAGAGAGCTTCTCTGGTGTGATTATTTATAGTGTAGGAGAAACTAAAATTTAATAAATCCATTTACATCAAGTAGGCCCCATTTTAACAACAATTAGAAGCCTGCATTTAAGATGAGCCTGACTGAAAACCCCTTAAGCTAAGCTAAAAAACAATTTAACTTTGAAATGAATATTCACTATTTAGGTTGGCGGAGCCATATGAAGTTATAGATTACTATTTAGGTTGGCGGAGGCATATGAAACTATAACATCGAAATGAATATTTATGCATTCATGAGTAGAGTTTGGATATGATTTTGAGTTTTAAGATCTGATTTAAATTTTGTTTTCAGTGTTATTATTGAACATAGAGATGTGATTGACTAACTAATATATATATATATA